AGTTCAATAACACTGTCTTTCCTTCATATCTGTCACCATCACATATGAAATCAAGTATCCATTTAGGCCATAAGCTCTTTGGAACAGGGCTTCTTCAAGCATCTATTATCTTTTGGGACACTATTAAACAGTGATGGATATGGAAAAAAGGAAAAAGAAATAAAGTTGGTGAGAGGGGATTATATCACCACTTCCCTCTCCTAATTCAAGTTCTGCTATTATAATATTACCCAACTTACTTATGAAGGTGAAAGTGAAGGTAATAAATAAATATCATTTACCTATTGACAGCATCCAGCTCTGTTTAATATACAGGCAGTGTGTGAGGAGCTATGAATCATGTCAGAGATTTAAAGGGATTAGTGATAGAGAAGAGTGTAACCTTTATTCCAATGCAACAGCTGCACTGAGAAATTTCCATAATAACAGTTGCTTTTAATTACATAAGGAACTGCAAAGCCTTTTTAGCTTCATATCAATAATGCAGCTTTGATTCTAAAGTTGCTAAACAGATAATCCTGGGCCTTTTTTGTCAAGGCCAGCTTGTGAATAGCAATGATTTAAATCCTAGTGTTTTAAGTCTGGGAGAATGGAGTGGGGGAAAGCGTATATTTTCCCCCACATGGATGGCAAAATTATAAATAATGTCTAGGAGCCATATTTCTTTCACATGAATGCTCCAAGAAATAGCATTGATAGCTAAATAAATACAAGGAAAAAAACTCAAAAACTCAGGGACACTCCACAGGCACCAGATAATTTAAATCTAAACCTTATTCCAACGTCATCTGATAAGACTTAAAGAAAGAACTGTATGTCTAAAATTAGTCCATTTTGTTAATAAAAGCAGAATATTTTTTAGTCATTTGAAACCCCAAAAGTCAGTTAAAATCCTACTTCCTCATCTCCTACTCTTCCAGCTCCTCTCTGTGATTGAACACTGGCCTCTGACTGCTTAATGCCTTATTCATTCCTCATTTTCTGGGCAGATCACTAGTTTGTGAAGATAATTAGAGACCCCTGCTATTCCTTCTAAGCCTTGAATCTTGAGGCTAATTAAAATGGAGTGTTGCACATATGCAAGCAGCTGATAAAGGCTTGCAGCAAGGTACCTGGAATCATGGTATTTGTATAGCAGAGAGGCAAAAAGGTGCATATACTTTGTAATGAACAGAATTTGCTACGCCCCTCCTTGTTTTGCAATGCAAACCTCAGCTAAACAGAAATAAATCTCCATTGTCAGATTTTTCTGGATCCTATTATAAATATATGCTGTTATTTTAAATGTTTTTCTCATGGTTTTCTGGCTAATCTAAAAATCTAGCATTTATTTCCTAAGTAAAAAATGTCAATTCTTTATCCCCAAATCCCCTTCTTCCACCTCTTGGTATTCTTCCTAGAGGATGCAACTCCTCTGACAGAGCTTGTTTAAGATCAGAGAAAGCAGCCGAGAACAACGCTTTCTTTCACCTGGAATGGTGTGAATACAGTACAGGTATGGTGCGCACAGAAACTACTCCTGTTCCTGCTTTTCACTATGGACCTTAGGGTTATTTACTCACATACTGGCTCTTTCAGCATGTACATATCCATGGTGCTGGACACTCTCTCTTAAATGGTTTAAGTATTTTTGTGTTGATTAAAACTATTCCCATTGGAAATAGTTTTAAATCATGTTTTTTTGCCAAACACCTTGTCTAATTTTCTGTTGATTTGGGAGAAGTGTAGTGTGCCAATATACATCAATAAAAGAAAGGTGCTGCTGGCACTAAACTGGACCCCTGAATGCAGCAGAACATCACAGATTCTATTCACACATCTATACTGTGTGGTTTGTCCTTACTTATCCTATAGATCCTCAAACTCAGTAAGTTCTGCTCAGTCCCTGAGGCACTTCCTGAGTGCTGTCAAACTTGCTTTTCTCCAAATGAATTTAAGCTATGGCCCCAAATTAGACTATGCTATCATGAAAGGGTGGAAGGTGCTGTGCTAGTGGATCCAAGTCCGGAAATGAAGAACTGCACTTTTACTGGGGAAGGGAGCAAAGAGAATTTGTCACTAATATAATTTTTTTTTTAAAAAGCTTTTCTTTATCTTCATTTATTTTCTAAATTTCAAATTATTCTATTTCTAAGTATAATACAGTCATGAACTTATTTATACATATACAGCTCCAAAGTAGTCCTGGCATATTAGACATAGCAAATTGGAAAGAACAATTTTGGAAATACATGAGATTTTATCTATTATGGCAATGCATTCTTGCCTAATAATTTCTTCAGCTCTGCTTTCTAATTCTAGAATTACCATCAGAATAACATACAGCACAACTCAATTTGTGATAGTTTGAGATGCTTGATTCCATCTACTAAAATATTAAGAGGTAGCATTATGTTATTTTTAAACGCATACAGAGATTTTGAATAGTATATGCTATCCTCATTTGAAAACTACCCCAGATTGACTAGAATTATATCACTGTCAAAAAATAATATATACATATCAAAAGTTCTCTTTAATAAAAATATGTGAGATAGGATGATAGACCTAGAAAGAGCACCCAGGTCATCAAGTCCAGTCCACTGTGATCATAGGCAAGTATGTAATCAGTACATTCCCAAAGGCATTCATAGGAACATCCACTCCTGCCCTCCCTGCATACCAACTTAGTACAAAAATAAAGGCTTCAGAAAGTACAGTGTGCCACAGGAAAACAGCAGTAGTGACAAGGATGCTATCAATATAGTGGGCTCTTTCAGTGGCTGCAAACTAGTTAGGTGAAGAATACCTAGATGAATGAACTGGCAGAAGCATAAAGCAGGGGTCAACAACTTAGGGCCCAATGACCATATCCAGCCCATATCCAGCCAATATCCTTTGTCCCCATTCGGGCAGGCTGCAGAAAGAAGTGGCAGCTGGGTCCTAGTGCTGGCCCACAATGGAACCAAGCTCAGTCACTGCAGCCTACTACTGGGGAAATATTACCAATGATGATGTAAAGCAACTAAAACACAATGGAAAGGTCATGGGGAGCATTTTTTCAACCTCATAATCATAAACTTATGTTGAAAGAAAATTAATACCAGTATATAAATGCCTTCAGCAAGCAGAGAGAGTGCTATAAAAATTGCTAGATTTATAATTTTCCTGAACATCTATGAACACCTCTGTTGTTTAAACTATAGTAATAGTATGTTATACTGTCTGGATAAAGCTGGGATTAGTTGTGCTCACTTGTGTTATTTCAGTACAAGTCATGGAAGGTCCTAGTGCCAGACTATCTAGCTATGGAAAGATCTGTATTGACGGTCAACTTGTGTACACAAAAGCCTCTAGCATGGTTTAAACAGGGATGCGCCAATATCCTGATTCAAATAACATTCAGTGGCTATAAGATCTGATCAGTCTATTGAAGATAATTTATTATGCTTGTCTCTATACATGGGCAAGTTTCATATTTATGTTGTAGTGAACCAGGAGCAGACATAGGCATGGGTGAACTGGGTGGCTGCCCAGGGCCCAGACAGAAAGGGGGCGCAAAAACGGTGAAAATAATTAATATTATCATTATCTCTGGTGAAGGGGGCCCTGATACTAAAGTGCACCTGGGGCTGCCAGGAGTCTAGGTACAGTGCTGTAGTGAACAAATCTTGTCCGTTACTAGTTCCAAACTAAAGGGACCAGGATACTCTATTGAGCATATTGCTAATAAAGTATGAAATGGTAAGGTGAGAACAAGAGCAGATTTTAGATCTAGTACCTGACAAACATTTAAATCTAGCTTTACAATGCAAGTGAGGTCACTTTGGGTGCCCGTGTCTGAAATGCTGAACCTCAGAACTTCCTCCCAGCTGTCATCTAAGCCTAGCAGCACTTAAGTTTCTTCAGCATCTACATTTTTCTATGGACCCATCTTTCTGCTACTGACTGTGTATGTAGTCAGGCAAGACTTGGTAGCAGTGATCTGTTTGGTGACTAAGCTCTAGTGGGATTCATACTCCAGGTCCTCTCCAGGTCTTGAGGTCTACTGATAGGCTTTTTTTCTAAACACACCTACCAGATCAGGTCTTGCAAACCAGAGCTGTCAAACGTCCAAGCAGCCAGGGACTGCATTGCCTATGGGTCTCATGAACAAAGATCACATGCTAGGTGGGTCACACCAGGGTGAGCCATGGCCACCTGGGCCGTGAACTGTGTGACAGCCCCTGCCACTGCATGACACATCTGCGCAGCACCCTCAGCCACTGCACCATGTGCCCATGCAAGCACCCTCCCCACACTGCTGTATACCATGCACCCATGTGGTCCTGGACTCACCTTCTGTGCTGTACACCACACTCTACACCCCCTGAGGTAGCAGGACAGATGAAACCACTGGAAGAGCCTGTAGCCCCTGGCTGCTGTGGGGGCCAGAGTGATAGGGGGAGTGGCAGCTGAGCAGCATCTGGGGACAGCAAATTAACCGCTTGCCAGTCACATGCGGCCTTCTAGCTACCACTTCAACAGCCCTCAGACACCAAATATCCTAGTGAGCACTCAGTTCAGAACTGGGACATCCAAGTTTCAAATTCCTCCCTCCTCCTAAAATCCATGTCCCAAATTAGGCAGATCTCCCATCTCTCTAATCATAAGACTTCAAACAATTCTGAGGTGTGTTCTTCTATTGAAGCTGTACCACTTTTTTATAAAATATTTAAATATTTATTGAGTCAGTGAGAAGACAAGAATGACAGTATAGTAATTAGATGGTTACTGCCTTCATATAGGAGACCTGAGTCCTGCCCTTGTCTACATTATTATGTTCTACTGGCAGAGCTATTTCAGCTGGGGGTGTGAAAAGATCCTCTCTCACAGCTGATATCATTCTGACAGCAACCCCCCACAGCAGGAGTACAGCTCTGCCAGCACGAGGTGGCTTCTCTTGGCAGAGCTTCTGCTGCTCAGAAGTGAATTAGTTCAGGTGGCAGAAAGATTTCTGCTAGCAGAGGTACCTATCTACAATCAGGGGGAATAGCCTCCTTAGCACTAGCATCAGTAGCTCCCATATTGTGGGCAAAGCTCTCCCTCCAATAAATATTTAAGCAATTTCTATTAAAAAAAGGAGAGCTTCAACAGGAGACACCAAGAAAGATCCTGATCTAGATTCCTTAAATCCCAGTGTTTGGGGCACTCTCCTAGGAAGTGAGAGAACAGCTTTCAAATCTCTATTGTAAATCAGCAGAAGAAGAGAGATTTGAACAAGGATCAGCAACTTCTTAGGTGAGCACATTAACTACCAGATGATTAGGTAAAGTGGTGTGACAGTTTGGAGGACTGGACCAAAAGACATCTCATGAGGTTCAATAAGGACAAGTGCAAAGTCCTGCGTTTAGGCTGGAACAATCCCATACACCAGTACAGGCTGGAGGATGACTAGCTAAGTAGCAGCTCTGCAGAAAAAGACCTGGGGGTTACAGAACAATAAGCTGAATATGAGCCAACAGTGTGCTTTTGTTGCCATGAAGGCTAACAGCATAGTAGAAGCATTGCCAGTAGATCGAGGGAAGGGATTATTCCCTTCTGTTTGGTACTGGTGAGGCCATATCTGGAGTACTATTTTCAGCTTTGGGCCTCCCACTACAGAAAGGATGTAGATGAATTGGAGAGAGTTCAGCGGAAGAAAGCCAAAATGGTTAGGGGGCTGGGGCACATGATGTATAAGGAGGGGCTAAGGGAACTGGATAATTTAGTCTAGAGAAGAGAAGACAGAGGCCATTTAATAGCAGCCTTCAAGTACCTGAAGGGTGGTTCCAAAGAGGATGGAATGAGACTATTCTCAGTGGGGGCAGATAACAAAACAAGGAACAATGGTCTCAAGTTGCAGCAAGGGAAGTTTAGGTCAGATATTAGGAAAAACTATCATGTAGAGGTGCACCAATACATTGGTCCCATACTAGATTGGCACCGATATGAGGAAAACTGAGACTATCAGCAATTGGCTTGTTTTGTTTGATGTGGCTGATAATGTGGCCCATAAATGTCCTGTGCATGTGCAGCCACAATGCAGCACCAGGCAGGCAGGAGCACAGCCTGGCAGCACAGAGAGCAGTGAAGTCTGTTGTGGGGGGAGGGAAGGGGTGTGGGGGAAGCAGACTGAAGCCCCTGCACTGAGGAGGGAGTGAAGCTGGGGCTGGGACAGGGGAAGGGGCTGCCCAGCTAGGGTGGGACATGGGATGGAGCCATGAGTGGCTCATCCAGGGGCTGAGGAAAGGGGTGGCTCCCGCTGTTGCACACATCCCCATGAGGACACGGGGTGGGGGCTGAGCGTCCCCGGATCTGTTCCCAGGGTGGGGTGGGCTGACACTGTGGGCTGAGGCCAGGTCTGTGCTTGGGGCACGTGGTGGTGGCGCTGGGAGGGGAGGTTGGGGCGCTGGGGTGGATGGCACTCACCGCTGCAGCCCCCCTCAAAATTTGCCATAGTCCCCACTCCCAGCACCACTGCCACCTGGACAAAACCTTGGCTGGGATGACAGAGTTGGGAATAGTCCTGCTTTGAGCAGGGGGTTACACTAAATGACCTCCTGAAGTCCCTTCCCACCCTAATTTTCTGATTCTATGACAGACTATGGTCCTGTTTTTAATATTTATGAGTTAAATGTATTTGTATTACGTGCCTCAGTTTCTCTTACTAATTTGTACATGGGGAAAGAATGGATTAATGAGCTGTAGAGAACTGTACAGATCTGCTTAAATGCTCAGCTAAGGGGGAAATAAAGCAAATAATGGACCAATCTACAATGTTGCCAGATCAGCCCACAAGGGGGATTGAAACTCCAGCCCCAGGAAAGAGAACCTGATGTGTTTGGTTTAAGGGAAAGACTACAGAGGAACCCAGCCCAAAGAAATGGTCTTGAAAAGGAGACTACCACAGACGGTGCTGGGGGGATGCAGGATGAGAGGAGACAGTCTTGACAGAGAACAGCTGGAAATGTTTATCTGGAAGGGACTCTGCCTAGGAACTGGCTGAGGCATTGCCTGCTGTGTTCCTGTTACTCAGCCTATGGTCTGCAGGCTGGATCTGGCCTGTGGCATTGGAGGGGGAAGTGAAGATGGGAAATCAGCCACAAGCAACCTGGCCCAGTGCATTCCCGCTTCTCCCCTGCACCATGCTGCTCATTCCCTCCCTGAAGTAAGTGCTCTTCCTTTCTCCCACCCCTTCCTGACACTGGCAGCTACCTCTCTCCCAACTCTCTTCCTCTCCTCCTCTCATTTCAGAGGGGAGTGGTTGCCCATAATGTAGCCTTGTCACAGGACTGCATCCTACTGCACTAAAAAGTTCAGCTCTGTTGCTGCAGACCAATAAATGTGGTTTTGACTTCAGACGAGCTAGCTGCATTAGGTGTATTCCATCACCCTGAAGAGCTTAAGACCCTCCCTAGGAAGTAAACCAGAAAGTACTTCTCCAGGGAGTCGGGGATCAAAGATAATGAGGGAAGCTGGGGATCAAAAGGCTGGGTCCAAGGAGCTAGGGCATGAATGATGCATATCCCCCCAGAAGCTGGGCGGGGCACGGTGATTGCCCGCAGGCAGCAGCAACGGTGTGGCAGTGGTGAGCAGGGACCACCTGCAGACAGCCACAATTATGTTAGCGGTGAGAGTGGGCCAAGCAGGGACCAGCCACAGTCGCGGCGGCAAGGGAGGGGAGGTGGCGAGTGGCAGGCAGCAAGTGGGGATCACCTGCAGCTGCCATCCGTGCTGTTGGCAGCGGCAAGCAGGGACCACCTGCAGTAGCCGGCAGCCATGTCGGCAGCGAGGTGGGGATGGCGATCACCTGCAGAAGCTGGCAGCAGCTTCAGTGGTGGCCAATCTCGGGGTGGGGGGGGGCACATGCCCCCCTGTGCCCCCCACGCATTGCCTATGAGCTAGGGGCTCACCTGCTCTAGAACTTTTGCCCAGGCTGGCTTCAGGCATACTCCAAAAGACTCTAAAGGCTGCAGGGTCCGCAAGCAATTGCTTCCCTAGGGAATCCATGACAAAAGGCCCCAGCTTCCTCTTGCTCTGAGGGTGTCATTTTGCAGAGTGCCAACAATGACAGTACTGTTATGTGTGCCGACATGATTCACAAAGTAGTCCCAAAGATTTCAATTAGGAATCCACATTGTAAATAATAGCATTCTGACCCATTTTTGCTCTTTCCAAGTTCTTTGCAACAGAAGAATTGCTCTATTATTTTTATGTAGTCAAAAAACAATTGAAAACTAAGAATTGGTATTTTGTGAGTTGTGCCTCAATTCTAGGTTTTTTGAGTGTATCAAAGGGTAAGTCTATATGGCGCTGTGCTTTAGTACTTCCTTTTGGTAGTACTAACGCATGGAACAGTATGAGCTGTTACTGCACCATGCACAGATAAATTTCCCAGTGTTGTATTGCAGTAGCTATAATTGCTTTGATTGCTTATATTGTTATTTTTCTTTTTATATAATGAATTATTTAGCCATTAAGATAAAGTTAATCTTGTTATGATTTACTTTTTATGATATTTTAATGTCATTATTAGTGTTCTGGAATTAACCATCTATTTAAAATTTCCTATTGCTTAGCATAAATATATTTGACCTATTGGTCTCATGATTTTAGAACTTAAATTTAGTATAAGGAAAATGCTTATGTAAGGTCTGTGGTATGTCTGGCATATGTAGAAAGAGGTAACGAAAGAGTGAATGACGTATGTATGTGACAACGTGAAGGAAGAGAGTCCTCTTGCAGCAGGTGACGATAGCCTTCTGTGGTTTAACAGTTACAGGTTGTAGCTACATCGAGTCAGCAGTTAAGGCTTACCAAATACCCTGATGGCTAAAAACTGCAAGCAATAACCCCCCCTGAAGATTGCAGACCGCAAAGCCAGAACATCGTGTCATACCAATCCCAGCCTGCCAACAGGACAAGGATGATGGCCTTTGTGTCTGACTCAGCAGAATCCATAGGCTTGTATGGACAGCTATCACTATAAAGAATGAACACAAAGAAAAGGCTTTGGGTCTTTCCACCTGCAAGAAAGAGTTTTGGGTGTGTCCAACAAGACCTGACTCCATCCCTCGTGGTCAGTCTGGCCAGCCACCAGACTGGCCTGAGTGACTTTAGAACTTGGTAACACCTTAAACTTTGGAGGACTGTCTAACTATTGTGTGTTTGTGCTTATTTCTTTTGTATGAATGAATGAATGAATATGCATGGGAATGAGTGAAGCAGATAACCTTACTGTTCTTTATTCTTTTCATGTTGCATGTTTTATGTTCCAATAAATGCGGCATTGTGCCTTATCCCCTGGTAAGATTCCTGCTTGTTTTTAATTCACACTGTATGCCCTGTGTGGACAATACTAGCTATCTTGCCGTAGTGGTGCGTTATAATGGAGGAGTGCATCACTGTGCTAATGTAGCTGGCGATCATGTGTAGACCCATATGATTTCTGTGTTGCTGTAGTGTGACATGTAGATGCCCCCAAAGGGTGTCTTGAAACTAAAAAAGTTGAGAACCACTGTTCTAGGTACAGGAAATAGCCTATTAGTTATAGCAGGACATGTTGTCTGTTAGGTACAATAGTATTTCTTTATCTTAGAAACTGGAAGCCTAAAATATTCTCATATGGATCCAGTTTCAGTTAGCCATTGACTGAAACTAGGATTACACAAGCTGACTTCCAACTGCTCCTTTTGCCTGCAATCTGTTGATGATTGTATCAGCACTGACACTGATAACTGACTAGATGAAGTTAAATCAGTTACACCATTTTAACTTAAAATAAAATTAAAGAAATTGAAATAACTGAAGAAATAAAGAATTTGAAAATTGCAATAGAATTAATCCCTCTGTACTGATCATAAAGGTTTGATTGTGATTTAATAAGTTTCTCCTCCATTTTTGGCCTGAACAATAAAGTAAGTTGTAACAGTGCAGTTTGCTAATAGAATAAGAAAGACTTTCCACAGACAAAGGGTTCACAATAGGTGTGCCATTTATGTTATGGCATAACTACCAAAGAATAATTTAACTTTGCATCCATGTGCGCTGTGTATTGCCTTCAACACATCCAAACTGATCCAGGAATCTAAGAACAGATCACATGCCTTTAGCAGCACATCTATTTGGATTAACTGCATTAACATCCTTCATTTAGAAGGATTTGGAATGTTTTTACAAGGTTTAGAAAGGATTTCATTAGGATTACACGGTATGCAATTTTGAGTACATTTCACCCTTCAGCATAAGCTCCCTAGGCAACCATGTAATGGATCATGTCGGCCCCTGTTTATTCATTCTTATAGTCTTTTGTCACCCTAAAGTTAATGCCTGCATTTACTGTATATTTCTACTATCCCAGAAAAAGAAAAGACTGAGTCTGCAAGAAGCATCTCATTTCTAAAACTGCCTTAAGGACTATTAGCCATAGATGCCGACTTATTTTGCTGGGGGGGTAGGAGCAGGTCTAAGATGATGGACATGTGTAAAATGCCATGCATTTTAAGTGACAGCCTTCTTCCAGAGGTGGGCCAGGGCCCTCAGGCCCCCATGTACTTAGCACTTCTGATTAGAGTAGAAAAAGGAGGGATGCCACTTTCTTTATGCATATTATAATTTTCAAAGAAATAAAAGAGACCATGTTTTAAAGTGATATTTAGATGTGATTTATGTTTCACTATATGACCCTTGGATTTTTCCTCACTTTTTCTAACTTTCAATAACTTGTAATTTTTAGATATTTTCAATTAATTCCTTGGGCTTCACTAAGCTAGGGAGAATTGAAGTCACAAAGTAGAAATGATATAGGAATTGAGAAATGTTTGATGTCAGTGGCTGCATTCTTCATTCTGTAACATCTGGTTAGTGCCAGACTTAGAGCAACATAAAACTGGTACAGCAGAGGTATAGTTCCCTGCATAAATCTTGCACAATAGGTGTAACAGGACTGGCTCAAGGGCAGCCACAGCACCTCCTAGAGCAGGGGTGGGCAATTATTTGTGTTGAAGGGCCACTTAGGAGTTATAATGAACTGTTGCAGGCCGAGTCAGCATCCTGCCCCCCTGGCCTGCAACAGCTCATCAAAAATCCCTAAGATTACTAGACCAGCCTGGGACCCCTGTGGGCACGGCGTGCGTGGCCAGGCACATGGGCTGGGGCCACAGGCCGGTGGAGAGTGACATCCTGGAGCGGGACAAGCGGGGTTGTGGCCAAGAGCCATGAGCTTCTCCCTACATGACAGATTGTGACGTGCCTGACCCGGGAGAGGGTGGAGTGCATGCCTGTGACCCAGCCCCTGCACCAGCACATACATGCATGGACAGCCCCAGTACAGTACGACTGTGGAGCAGTGCAGCCCAGCAACATGAGGCAGACCCGAGGGATCATGACCATGCCCCATGCTGCCAAGCTGTGCCACTCCAAACCTGCACTGTACAGGGGCTGCCCTCAAGGGACAGTGGGAGGCAGATCACAAGCATGTACTCTGCCCCACTCCCAGGTCAGGCTGGTCAATCTGTGATGTGATGTGGGGAGCAGCAGATCATGGCTCTGCCCCAGCCCCAGCCATGTGCTATGCTGCAATCCTGGCCCCAGCCCTGGCCTTGCCTGCCCATCCTGCTCCCAGATGCCCCTCCCTGCACACCCACAGCCCTTAACCCATATGCCCAGCCAAATGCATGCTGTCCCCAGTGGTCCCAGCCAGTCCACATGGAGACCACAATACCAGCTCCACCTGGCACCCCAAGCAGTGGGTGCAAGGTGTACAGATCAGGGTGCCCAGGCACCAGAACCAGATATGACGGTGGCAGCCACACTAGCGGTGGTAGCTGGCAGGAGTCGCCGCCACTGGGGCTGCTGGGAAGCAGTCTGGCCGTCATGCCATCCCAGCCCTGCACTGCACAGCACTGCACTGCCCCTATAGCAACAATCCAGTCCTCCAGTTACTTAAACACAAAATACAGTATACAAACATAAACACTTCAATATCTAACACAGGGCTTGTGCCGTCACCTTGGATCCCTATACACAGCATGCTCCTGGCTAAGATACCAATTTCCTGCAACCACTACTGTAGATAGGGACAGTTCTCTGGTCCAGAGAACAGGATCTAACTAACTGCCCAACTTCAGGGCTGAGCTTTTTTACTCTTTTCAGTCGCATGGCCCCATTAGCTCCAATACTGATCCTGGGTGTCACCCTTTGGCTCACTTAGCTGCCTGCTTCTCTTCGCTACAGTTTACACAGCAGAGGTACTTATTCCATAGCTGGCCTAAACACAGTTGTCTTCATGTAAATGCAGCTCTAGTCTGCTACTCTTCCATCTTGAAGTAGCAGGGGCCTTGGTCCCCTCTTACACAGGCAAGAGAAAGGCATCATTTAATTCTCTATAACCCTGGAGAACTAGCGACTTTAAAAAAGCCAAAAATATCTCAATCTAATTTTCTTCCCTAATCTGACTTAAATGGGATGATGTACACGTCTATTTTTATGTGCAATGGTGATTAAAAAAAAAGGTTGAGGCATTTTACAGCTGATTTCTACATGCAATTATTGCACATATACACATACAAATTAAGTTACAGTCTATGCAAATGACTACATAGGTATATAACTTATTACAGTATATGCATATATATACCTTGTGGACACCTAAATGAAAAATTAAGTTCTAAATGTTCATAGGTTTCCAGCAATTTCTACATGTATTAACAATGTGCATCAGGGTGATGTGTTCCTGTTGGTAAAACAGCAGAGCATATCATCATGAAAAATTCTCAGATCATCAAACCTGTTCTTCACTATCTGGAAATAGAATTAACCTTGGAAGAGGTTGTTTTTTTATTGCCAATGGAATTAGCAGAGCCAAAACACAGCTTTGTATCTCTGTTAATGGCAACTATTCACTACAAAATTATATATTTTAATGAACAGCCATGGGGAAAAATACTAAAGGTATATTATTTGTATGTTATTGATCAGCACCTGGATAATACTAAAAAATTCAAAACAAAAAGAAGAAAAAGAAAATCTACCTCCATCTTTCAAGTGAATAAAAAGCGTAGTGCTAAAATTCAAGAGCAACAATTTTGGATTTCCTAAAACTCTAAAGTATTGCAATTATCACAACCACTGGAACTACTATACTTACTACACTGTAAAACAGAAGCAGTTTACATTTGTGTTCTTGACTGCACCTCCAACATAATTAGAACATTTTATAATCGGTAATTTTGTTTAGCAACTGTTGTTTATAAAGTTGCTCTCATTTATGTACTTGTACTTTACATTGTGGAAGAAAAATATACTGATTTACAAAGTTCAGTATTTTGTATTTGTTTCAAACCATAAAAATGTCAAAGTAGTATCTCTTGTAGTGCTTTTTATTACCTCCCTTCTCTTCATGGTATTCATATTAAATGTTTTTCTTAATGTGAACCAACTCAAGACGGTTCAGC